TCCAATGAGTCGGTTCTTCACATCAGGTGGCCAAAGTATCGGAGCTTCAGCATCAGTCCTTCTAATGAATATTCAGGACTGATTTCCTTTAGGATTGTCTGGTTTGATCTCCTTTTGATCTCCTTAATGGATTGCTTCGCTACAAAATTTTCAGCATTATATACTGTTTCCTATACACAGTACCCTGACTCATTTTCCTTAAAATTTTCTACTTTCCTCATATTTTTTCCTAGTCAACTAGCTACAAAATAAGCTTGAATAATTTTTTCAATGATCAATTTTGCTATGTCAAAAATGAGAATAATAACAGTTTGCCTCATAAAATTGCAGGTGTGAAATGGATGCTAAAAGCATGCTATGCTCATAGAATATTTAATACATTTTAGTTTTTATTATCATGTTTTTATTATCATTATCATCAAATTTTAGAAATGCCATGCTTAACATAATTTTACAAAGAAAGAAAATGAGGTACAGACAAGAGATTTGCCTAAAAACAACCAGAAAGTTAGGATTGGGTCTAAGAGTGAAATCCTGACCCAACAGTAATTTCTTTTACTATACAAAAATTTTGTGACTCATCTTACCTATCTTTCTCATTCTCTGTCATGTATCTTTTATTTCACAACACAGTACATTCCTCTGTACAATTTGTCATTTCTGCTTTGAAAGCCTTCTAATCTATTTTAGTTATCAGTCCTCTCCAACTCTCAGGTCCTGTTCAAGTAACACTTGCTTTCTGACATTTTCCACAAAAATGTTAAGTCATACCTATCTTCTATGCATTATTCTCTGAAGTTTACTTACACATTTTTCATTTATCCTATTTTTTATCCTATAAATGTTTCATAATATATGATACTGATTTTAAGTTTACATAAGGAGCTTTGCGCACCCAAAACTGGTTGAAGTTAAAAGGATTATTTGATGTCCTGTCTTGCTGATTCTTCACGACAAGACTTGGTTGGTTATTGCACATGTTATTTTAGACTATTTTGGAGTAGGCATATTTGAGTTTCTGGGCTTTTATATGGTTTTTCCAGTAGTTATATGTGGAGGTGAATGTTGGGCCATGAAAAAGGCTGAGTGCTGAAGAATTGATGCTTACAAATTGCGGTGCTGGAGGAGACGCTTGAGAGCCCCTGGGACAGCTAGGAGTCAAACCAGTCAATCCTAAAGGAAATCAACCTTGACTATTCATTGGAAGGACTGAAGCTGAAGTTGAAACTCCAGGACTTTGGCAACCTGATGTGAAATCCAACTCACTGGAAAAGACCCTGATGCTGGGAAAGATTGAGGGCAGGAGGAGAAGGGGGAGACAGAGGATGTGATGGTTGGATGGCATCACCAACTTAATGGACATGAGTTTGAACAAACTTCGGGAGCTGGTGAAGGACAGGGAAGCCTGGTGTGCTGCAGTCCATGGGGTTGCAGAGTCAGACACGACTTAGTGATTGAGCAACAACAAATATGAATATGTGAGAGAGATTTTCTCAATACTGTTTTTTGCAACTGTTCAAAATCAAACTTTGAGTTCAGAGTTGACATCAACTCTCTTGCTAAAGCTCAGTTTACTGCCTTTCCTAATTTGCTACTTCTCTGGAGATTTGTGTAACACTGAAATATGAAAATGCTTGTCCTCCAAAATATATTTTCCAAAGAGGCCCAAGATCACCGCCAGGTTTCCCAGGATTTTTTCTTTCGTATCTCAAGGCACTGCCCTCATACTTTCTCTCTTCATTTTATCTTTGCCTGAGACAATGGAAGAGTTATAATAACTACCCTGAAGTTTGGGGCAATTGCCAGTTCAGGTTATCCTCAGAGTTTTGCTGATTAACCATTTTATGCTGACTGTAGGTTTGCACAAGACTACACAGTCAATAGAAGCTGAAGGAAAGTCATAATAACTATTACCTATGGTAAAATAGATTCCATTTTCCATTTATAGACCCATTACTTTCATCTGTAAACCGCTGTTAAGAACTTGTACATTTATTTTCATTTTATGCCTATACTAGCTCTTGGAATAAGCAATTCTTCAAGTTTTGTATAAGAATATTAAATACTCGCATTATCTTTCAGTATGGGCAATTTTAAATGCAATTTATTACATGAGATTTTTAAAATAAATATGAAATGACTTTACAATCAGAACAAACTATTTTAATTTTGATAAAACAAGTCTTTTCCATATTAATCTCTAGTTGAAGTAGTATTTTATGTTCTACATTTTAAATATATCTCCATGGTTTTTACTTGTTGAAATATTTTAAAAGATATCTCCTTGTACAAAATGTAATATATTAGCATTTGGTAAAATTGTTCATTTTCATCACTTTTAGTCTTAACAGGATAAGGCTTGGAAATTTTAAATAGAGACATTTTTATGGCCACACTGTTTTATGGTCCCAAGACACCCTACTAATTGCTCCGTGTCATTCATCACCTAATTGGAAAAGTATTTAACATCCAGAAAGAGAGATCCACTGAGTTGCCCATGTATACTTTTTAATTAATGGCAGAGACACATATCCTGAAATAACTTTCAATTACAAAAGTAGATGATTCACCGAAAAATTGATTTTCAATTTCTTAAATCTTAGCTGTTAGACATAGGCACACTTGGAAAGAATGTAGGATGCTTCCTAAAAATTAGATCTATTTTAAAAGGAGGTAAAAGTCTGACTTGCCTCTGAAAGAATGTTAATCTGAATAGTAAAACTAAGTGGAGATGAGGACCCAGTGCCCCACCTTCTGGGCCAAGAATTAGAGGAGCAAAGTTATTAGAAATTCTAAGAGGTGAACGGGAATCCAAGAGCATAGAAAGTATCTCAGAGCAGACCAGAAGGACTACTAGCATCTTAGACAACTTCTTCAACTGAGATGGTAAAGCAATGGAACTGCAAGTGTTGAGAGATGGGAATGGTGAGCAGACTCTCAGGCAGCATATTAGGGTCAGCACCTCCCTCTGTGGAAAAGGGAAAATCTGAATTATTTCTACATTTGACGGAACCTTGAAAGTGACTGAAAGAGAGCCACCAGGTTCGAAGCAGTTTCAGATAGTGAATGTAGAATAAACTTGGACACCACATCTAGCAACAGTGGGTGCAAATACATGGCAATAAGAACTAAGTGGGGCATTACCCCAGTGGAGGCTACGGATGGAGGATAATTCTGGATCCATATTCCTCTCATGCAAGAGAGTCACACACAATCACTTCCAGAGAGCTCCCCACAGCAAAATGTTAAGTTAACTGAATGATACTGTTAACCTTGATATGACTGTGTTTACCTTGAACAGGTAAGACTAACACTGTGTCTCTGAAAATGTCATCTCTAGAGAAGTAAAACAGTTTTGTTCAATTCATGTGTGACCACAAAAACAGAATTACTGTAAGTCTAACGTAGCTGAAATCCCAGAGCCTCTCTTGCTCAAGCCTCTTCCAAAGCTCCAATAAGAGCTCTAGTAATGCTTTTGTAAAATTTGCAGAAGACAATTTTAGCCACAATTGCATAAGACACCTGCCTCTTTCCACTCTGACTTTCCTTTGAGCACATGTCCCCTCCTGACCCAGAATCCAATTCAATTAAGGGTGAATTCAATTAAGTGGAAATTGCATTGGAGATACATTTAGTTTAGGCTTAATGAGATTTATGTATGTGGTTCACATCCCCTCCCATGAAGGGTTAAGTTAGCACTGGTCTCCATCAGTGCATGGTTAGAGGGCATATTGTGAGATGAAGGAGTCCTACAGTCCTAGACACTAGAAATATGTGGGCTATGGAGGAGAAACAGGTAAATATTTAAGGAGGAGACTCAGTTCTCCCTTCTGCTTACTCAGTGAAGAAATTCTACTACTATAAATGCATTTGCATGACATAGAAATGATTGGAATTCCTAATTTTTTAGAGAACAAACCTGTAGGTATACCATAGAGTATGTCAGTCTGTAAAGAATCATGTATTTTTCACCCTTTTATAATAAATTGCATGTCAACATTACATTTCTCGGTGAGTTGCAAAACTTGAACTTTTCTAAACTATAATAAGTATTTCAATCACGTAGACAAAAAGCCTAAATTATTTTTTTCTTCTGTACTCTCTACAGAAAATGGTATAAAGTCAAAGATGTATGAAGAAACTATAAAAATGTACAATTAACATTTTAGGGGAAAAGTATTATATTGGTATGTCAATTTATTAGTAGAAGTAATTTGTTATTACTTTCCTGAATTTTATAATGCCTGTGGCATGTACCAGATTTAATTTTTTTTTAATTTTTTGAATTTCTTTTTGTTCTAAATAGTTATATGTCCAATTTTGTATTCCTAAGTTTGTATTATTTTCTTCTCAAATATCCCTGTTCCCAATTTTATACACTTCAAACCTTCTAAACCTTGACCAGTAATATCATACTTTCTACTGATACTTGAATGTAAGCGCCATGAGAACAGGAATTGTTTTCCTTTTTACCCTGTTCTATATCAAAACCCATACAGGATCTGAAGTATAAAAGGTACTAGTCAATATTTATGAAATGAATACTGGTCACTGTTTAAATAACGCTTCCAAGATGAAGAAGCCTAATGTTTCCTTTGTTTTTATTCAGTGGACTTCCTCCACCCAGTTTCCTGCGTTAATTTTTTCTGACAAATATCGTGATGTTTATACAGAAAAGTTGTAAAAAAAAAAAATTCCTTGCAAAACTCTAGTATTTTACAAAAGATTTACTTTCTGCAGTAGTGATGGATTCAGTTTAGAAGATATGCAAACACAAGACACCCAGGAACGTATAAGGTGAGGAAAAAGAAAAAGGAAAAAAAAAAACTAAACTAAAGACAAAACAGGACAAATTATTACAAGAGACCTGATAAAGACGAGAAAGAACAAGGGTTGGATGTGGAAACATGGCTGAAGTCAGCTTTTCTTTCCACCGTAAGAGAAACACAAAGATTTTACAGATATTTGTAGCCACCAGCGCCCCTTCTCAGCCGCCCGCCATGACGACCGCGTCGCCTCGCAGCCGCCGGAACTACCAGCAGGACTCGGAGGCCGCCATCAATCGCCAGATCCGCCTGCAGCTCTGCGCCTCCCATGTCTACCTGTCCGTGTCCTACTATTTTGCCTGCGATGATGGGGCTTCGAAGAACTTTGCCAAATGCTTCTCTTCACCCATCTCATGAGGAGAGGGAACAGGCTGAGAAACGGAGGAAGCTGCAGAACCAGCGAGGCGGCCGAATCTTCCTTCCGGAAGAAACCGGACCGTGATGACCGGGAGAATGGGCTGGATGCGATGGAATGTGCGCTGCGCTTGGAGGGACGTGTGCGTCAGCCACTACTGGAGCTGCACAGACTGGCCACTGGAAAAAGCGGTCCCCATCTGTGTGACCTCGCGGAGACCCATTACCCGAGTGAACAGGTGGGAGCCATCAGAGCACTGGGTGACCGCATCACCAACCTGCGGCAGCTGGGGGCCCCTGGATCTGGCGTGGCAGAGCACCTCTTGACAAGCACCGCTTGGGATACAGTGAGAGCTAAGCCTCAGGATGGCGGCCCGCAGCCGAGGGGTGACTTCCCTGGTCACCCAGGCAGTGCAGGCCTATTTGGGCTACCTTCACCTTTTCTTAATTCGTAACAAAACATCTACTTAAGTTCTTCCTTTAGTACCATTCCTTCAAATAAAGTAATTTGGTAACCCCGCCCCCAAAATATATATTATATAATAGTGTTGATAATTATTATTAATAATAATTATTATTATAAATAATCAAGTTTAAATTTATCCAAATAGCCAATGTATGGTATATTCTGCAGACAGATGTTTGAAAACTACCATCTTCAGCTTTAAATAATATTTACTGAGAGACAAAAATACCAAGAGGGGTGAATCGTTAAAAGGGCAGGCTAGCTCATTTTATGCAGAGGTGTAAAGAACCATGAACCACATGTTGAAAAACTGAAATGCTAAATGAAGTGGTGATGTGTGGGAACTGGGCCACAGATGTTAGGATGTTACTTGTTGAGACTGGGCTCTATAGACTAGACTCAACAAACCATGACAGTTTAAAATTTAGAGGTTCTGATACTACTAAAATATTATGACTTAGAGCTTTAAACTTTAAAATAGTAGCTCCCATTTGTTCAATTCTAATTTGAGATTATGCTCTGAATATGCTCCTTTTTTTCTATAATAGTGATGATAGTCGACACAAATTCACACAAAACTGATTATTTAAAATTTTAAAAACTGACTTTGTAAGTTGCTAGAGTAAATTGGTTCATTTCCTTCTCCTTTCCCAGGCTTCTTAAAGTCAGTCTGTATGTCAGTGTATCACGTTCCTGGTGCCAAAAAGTGTCTGTATTGCTTAAGTAAACCTTTAAGTCCCTCTGTGTTAGTAGAATCATACACAGAGACTCTCTACTCTCTCCTTCTCCCCATCTCTTTCTTTTTCAACTCTCATATTTTTATGTATCTGTCTGGTAGTGTTTTATGAAGTTCAGCTTTTGCATAATTTTTATTGAAAAAATATAGTTGATATACAATATTGTGTCAGTTCAGTTCAATCACTCAGTCGTGTCCCTGTGACCCCATGGACTGCAGCACACCAGGCCTCCCTGTCCATTACCAACTCCCAGAGTTTACTCAAACTCATGTCCATTGGGTTGGTGATGCCATCCAACCTTCTCATCTTTTGTCGTCCCCTTCTTCTCCCGCCTTCAATCTTTCCTAGAATCAGGGTCTTTTCAAATGAGTCAGTTCTTCACATCAGGTGGCCAAAGTATTCCATTTCATGTATATAGCATAGTGATTCAGTATTTTTGCAGATTATATTCCATTATAGGTTATTAGAAGGTAATGGGTAGAATTCTCTGTGCTAACATGTAAATCCTTGTTGCTTATCTGTTTAATACGTAGCAGTTTGTGTGTTAATCCCATACCCCTAATTTGTCCCTCCCACCTTCCCTCTCCTCTTTGGTAACCACAAGTTTTACTCTCTATGTCTGTGAGCCTGTTTCTGTTTGCTTAATTTAATACTTTTCCAAATAGAAATATTTTCAATGATTTATTTTGCTACTTTGGATAGTTTAACCAATCTATAGCCAATTATTCCTTAAATCTTTGGTTATACAATGATTCAAATCAACCTTGATTATACACACACACACACACACACACACACAAAAACAGAGAAACAGTCTAATCATGAACTATTGGGAATCCATAGGTTAGCTTATTTCTGCTTCAGTAAAATATGACTTAATAAAATGGAGATAATACCATCTACTGCTTCCAGGTCTCAGGTGCAAATCAGGCAGTGTCAAAGTACAGTATTTAGAATTCTGTGAGAATAAGGCTGTATAATATTTGAGACATTGCTATTGATGATTAAGTTACAAATAAACTTTAGCCTTTACTGAACATCAGCTATATTCTCAAGACACACAGTGTGCTAAATACTGCAGTCATTTTTACATTTTATCTTCAGAACTCTGAAATGCAGGCATTGTTATTGACCCTGTTTTACTAAAAAATAAATTGAATCTGAGATTGAAATAAATTGAAGATATAGCAAGTAAATTTTAGATACAGTAATTGAAAGCTGGTCAACCTAATTTCAAAGAATAATTTATTAATTATTTCCCAACTTAAGATGCCCAGGTAAATTCAATTATTTCAGTAGTTATGTTATTATCTTAATGTGTATTAGAAAAAAACATAGCACATTTAACTCAAGATATCACAGATGTGATTTTTAAGACTGAGATTATCATAGGCATTTAATTTTAAAAGGTGAATTAATTTCAATATGAACATTAGATAATAGTAAAGATGACACCCAGTTCAGTTCAGTTCAGTCACTCAGTTGTGTCCAACTCTGCAACCCCATGAAACAGCACACCAGGCCTCCATGTCCATCACCAACTTCCGGAGTCTACCCAAACTCATGTCCATTGATCTGGTGATGCCATCCAACCATCTCATCCTTTGTCATCCCCTTCTCCTCCTGCCCTCAATCTTTCCCAGCATCAGGATCTTTTCAAATGAGTCAGCTCTTCGCATCAGGTGGTCAAAGTATTGGAGTTTCAGCTTCAAAGATGACATCCAAATATGGCAAAATTAGGAAAGTGGTATTTGATTGATGGAATATTAGGAAATTCTAGAGTGGCGTGTTGTTCATCTCTAATCACTAGCATTACTTAGAGGGTTCTATTCAGAACTGGTACTAGAGGAAATTGGTGAGTTTATAGTTAACATGTATTATAATCCAGAAACAGCTTATTAAAGTTGTGTTCTCATGATGCGCTCGAGTTACCATAGAACCATTCTCTATGTATTTGGAATTCATTTCCTCTTTTCAGATTTATCTGACTCAGGTTCATTATTTAAATGTCATGCTGCCTGGGAAACTGTCAAACAAGTTTCTTCTATAAGTTAACTTTTTACTCTAACAGCAGTATTTATTACCCAAACCATAGGAGCGAATAATTAGGGTTATTTCAAGCATTGCATCACAGCCAGTGTTATTTATGAGTAGGAAGGCTAAGTCCTTCTGCTGCTTCCTAAATCATGCCAAGTAATTGTGATGTCAAACTGGTTGTAAAGGTGACTCTCCTTTCATTACCAATAGAGGTCATATCACTTTGAGGTATATGTTTGTTTCATCTCAGGACAAATAAAATTTTTCCATTTAAATGGGAAGCAAAAGTTTAACAACCACTTCAAACAATTATTTAGTTTCAAGTCATGTCAACTGCTATGAAGATATATTGAGCATCAGTTGTGCACCATCCGTTACTTTAGGTACTGAGGATGCCAAGAAGTAGGCACAGTCCTTACTCCTGAACTGAACTAAAGTCGCTCAGTCATGTCTGACTCTTTGCCACCCCATGGACTATACAGCCCATGGAATTCTCCAGGCCAGAATACTGGAGTGGGCAGCCTATCCCTTCTGCAGTGGATCTTCCTGACCCAGGAATCAAGTCAGGATCTCCTGCATTGGATTCCTTACCAACTTAGCCATCAAAGAGTCCTTACTCATATATATATATATATATGAGTGATGTGTGTGTGTGTGTGTGTGTGTGTGTGTGTTCTGAGATGAGAGGTAATAGGAGCATGAGAAGTAATCAGGACTAGAGGAGAAATATACAAATGAGTATGTTGTAGGGCTATAAGCCCTATGCTGGCAAGCCTGATGTGTCTCTCAGTACAGAAAAAAAAGTCATTATCTCATCCAGGCCAGGGATGCTTATAGAAGGCTTCCTGAAGGAGGCATGGTTTGAGTTGAATCTTCAAGGATAAGTAAGAGTTAGCCAAGCAAGCAAGGAAAAAGATCATTCAAGGAAGAGGGAAAAGAATATTCAAATACATGGAAAACAAAAAGCTGTCACCTTTGGGAAAGAGCAAATAGGTTAATGTGGTAAAGGTTATCTTGAGCTGAGATTTAAACTTACACTCTTTCTCTACACTGTGTGATGCTATATACTCCTGATAGGCTACAGCCTTGGAGTATGCAACTGACTTACAAGATGCATGCTTGACACAGAGGCTCATGGTTATTAGTATAAAACTGATGAAGCCAACTATTGCATTTAACTAACAGCTCACTATTTATAATCCTGAATCCTTCAGAAGTATGCTAATTTAAAATGCAATGACTTGATGACATAAATCAAAGCAAGATCTTCTAGGACCCACCTCCTAGAGTAATGGAAATAAAAACAAAAATAAACAAGTTGGGACCTAAGTAAACTTCAAAGCTTTTGCACAGCAAAGGAAACTACAAACAAGGTGGAAAGAAAACCCTCAGAATGGGAGACAGAGAAGGCAATGGCATCCCACTCCAGTACTCTTGCCTGGAAAATCCCATGGATGGAGCAGCCTGGTGGGCTGCAGTCCATGGGGTCGCTAGGCGTGACGACTGAGCGACTTTACTTTCACTTTTCACTTTCATGCATTGGAGAAGGAAATGGCAACCCACTCCAGTATTCTTGCCTGGAGAACCCCAGGGACGGGGGAGCCTGGTGGGCTGCCGTCTCTGGGGTCGCACAGAGTCGGCCATGACTGAAGCGACTTAGCGGCAGCAGCAGCAGCAGAATGGGAGAAAATAATAGCAAAAGGAACAATGGACAAATAATTAATTTCCAAAATATATAACTAGCTCATACAACTCAATATCAGAAAAACAACCCAGTCAAAAAGTGAGAAAAAGTCCTAAACAGACATTTCTCTAAAGAAGACATACAGACGGGTAACAAACACATGAAAAGATGCTCAACATCACTCATTATTAGAGAAATGCAAATCAAAACCACAATGAGATATCACCTCACACCAGTCAGAATGGCCATCATCAAAAAGTCTACAAACAATAATGCTGGAGAGGGTGTGGAACCCTGTTGCATTCCTGGTGGGAATGTAAATTCATACAGCCACCAGGGAAGACAGTATGGAGATTCCTTAAAAAACTAGAAATAAACCACCATATGACCCAGCAACCCCACTACTGGTCATATACCCTGAGGAAACCAAAACTGAAAAAGACACACATACTCCAGTATTCATTGCAGCACTATTTACAATAGCGAGAACATGGAAGTGACTGAGATGTCCATCAACAGATGGAGGGACAA